CTTGAGCTGTGCACAAGAGACCTTCACAACATCCAGGAGGGGTATCTGGGAAGTTGCTTCCCCATTTCTACCTCTCAAAGTACCCAAAGAATCCTTCAAAGCTTTTGGGGGGACTCTCCAAGTACATGCCTCTCAAAGTAATTTGCTCTGTTATTCTGGAGTTCGACTTCTCTACAGAATATAAGCCAATCAAAACACAGGTTGCCACGGTCATCGAAGGCCAATGTGCCAGCTGTTGCTACAACATTGTGGTCAAGCACACAATGTTTTGCACTGACCTACACATATATAAGAACATCATCTGTCACCAGTCACCATCTTGAAACCCAAGCACATTCACCCAAGCACACCCTGTCTAGACCCCAAGTCCATCCCTCTCAGTCTCTCAAGGTCGCTCGACCACCCGTCTCTCAAGGTCGCTCGACCACATGTCTCTCAAGGTCGCCAGGTCCATCCCTTTCAATCTCTCAAGGTCGCTCAACCACACGTCTCTCAAGGTCGCTTAACCACATGTCACATGTCTCTCAAGGTCGTTTAACCACATGTCAACATGGAAATACATAATATAGATAAATACACATACTTAATATAGGGACAGGGAGAGAGTTGTACACAAATATCGCTCACATACAGCCTATACTGGCTATGTTATCAACATCAGTAGATATGTTGTACATATATATATATACATATATATACATATTTCCATACATATACACAAACATAAAGGTATACATATATATATATACACACACACACCTCCCTGTCTCCAGTATGTATACATATACACATATATATATATACACATACACATATACATCTCTCAGAGTCTCCCCAAGTTCGCTCAAGCAACGATGTACATGAATCAGTCACTCATGGTCTCTCCAAGTTCAGACATGAACAACTTGGTGTGCATGTGTGTAGACATAACAGACATGTAGTTACATAAATGCATATATATATATACATATATATAATTATATATATATATATATATATATATATATATGTATGTCAATAAATGTATTTAAACAGCCACATCGTTACAACGTATACACACACAACATACAATACAACATACAATACAATGCACTAAAAAGCAGGGACACTAGCACATGCAGACATACCGACACAACTTCATATATAAGTCTCTATATGTGTGTATATATATATATATATATGTACATGTCGATATGTATATATATATATATGCACAACATAAACAAATGCATATAACCATCGATACATATGTATATATATATATATTTAGTTACATATTTACAACTCTTTTATATGTACAACAAAGCACACGAAAGGCAGCCCAAACCCCGACTCAAACTTCGACCCAAACTTCGTCACCTAGCCCCGGCAGACAGCGACACCAGGCAACGAAGTTCGGTCGAAGTTTCGACCAAACTTCGGCGCCAGAGCTGTGCCTAAAAGCTGCGATTATGGATATGATATCCTTAATCGTAGCTTTTAGTCAAGTGGACAATATCCATAATCACAGCTTTTAGGGACACAAAACATTAAGGATATTTTGTACCGCCCAACGAGACTATATATCCATAAATGAATTTTGACTAATAGTTAAAATCTTCCCGACGGTAAGATCGTAACTAATAGTCACAATTAAGCCTAACTCAAGCTATGGGGTAGTCAGTCATCGAACGTACAGAATCAGTAATTTTGCTCAGTCAGAACCCCTACAAACTGGCATAGTGGCACAGGCTAGGACCACCTCGAAGCTTGGCCTGGGGTTGTAACTATTTACAGCTCATTTTCCTGACATTGGCATCCTCGTCCCTGCCGTACCGAACACTTGAACTGAACCTGAAACCACCCCCGACGCCAGTCAGTAAACACCAGATCCTTGCCTCGATTGCATGGAGAAGTAAGGGCAGGTTTCGGGTAACCTTGTATAACCGTGTACACTGCACACCAAAATTCAAAGCCTGAGACGAGGAATGGCAGCGAGCATCAGCGCCGGCCACCCAAACGGAAAGATACCCCTCTCAATTATTATGAACTGTTGTACACCCTACGTTAAGTGACGCTGATTTCATGGTTTTTTCTATTCTATAGCAACAAAGCGAGAACATGCGAAACTCAACCCAGAACCTGAAAGGCCTGGAGCCTGGCAACTCTCGGTGGACACAGCCGGCAGAACAACCAAAAAACATGCACGCGCGCACGCACCCACACACTCTCACAGGACCCAGAATTTCGCATAAAAACCCCCGGGTTGAAAGCAATGCTCCAAAAAGCAATAACAACCCCCTAAACCCTAAAAACAAAACCAAAACCCTAAACCCTACAACCGACTTCCCTGCAGGATGCCGCCGATGCAGGCCGCGAGGCTGCAGCGCTGGCCGCTGCGGACCAGGCGGGGCGCCGTGCCGGATTCAAGCGAAGCGATGGATTCTAGAAGGCGCTGTTTGTAGAGTCTGTTTTGCCAGGATTTGTAAGGGAAGTTTTGATGTTCTATTTAGGATTCACGGTGCTTTTTTGTTATTTTAAGACGGTTTGTGAAAAGCGGTTCTGATCGAGAACTACAGAGGTTTGCATGCTGAAACTTGGCGTTGTGGTCACACTCGCAGGCTTCAGGGCAGCAGGAGCGAATGTGCCCATGATGCATGGGGCGTTTTTTTCCAGATCGGGCCGTACAGGGCTTTGGGATCCAAACCTCTAGGCAGGGAAAATCCTATCTCTTCGGCTGCACTGCAGATCCGCTGTGCCATCTTCCAACTTGCCATACACCCCCCAAACTCGAAAAGCTTGTCGTAACCTCAATTACGTGCAGAAGCCCCAAACGACTTCAGCCCCAAAAGCTGCATTTTAGGATGTACTGGGGGCCTAAATAATTACCAATACTATTTTGGAGTTTCCTTAGTATGATTACAGTATAATATACCCACAAACCCTATTCTAACTATTCAGGCCCGTACATTACGATTTAGAACTGCAGGCGGCATATATAAGAGCTTCTGGACTTCAGTAGCCTGTACAACTCCAACATGCGCCCAAGGCCTGCTCGAATCTTTAAGGCCCCCATTCTAAGCATCGGGAGAGCCTAGTCTACAGCACGGACGCTGTCAGAAGAAGCTCAAGTACACAAACCGAGCTAAACCAGGCTCCAGATACAAGCCTATATAGACCCCGCGCCCTAAGCCTAAATCGAGGGCCCACCGCTCCCCCCCAACATCCTAAACCCTACTCACTAAACCTTGACCCCTAGTCTGCCGCCGAAACCCTTAAACCCTAATCATTCAAGATGATCGGAAGAACTCGGCTCGAAATGAGTTTATCTCGTGTTCTAGGCCATCAAGTTGCCTTGTCTTGGGACTCAATTGGCGTCCATGGGTGAAGCTGATTTCAACAGTTGCTTCGAAGTTACCCTGCAATGCGGGCTCTGTCCTTGCTGGGTAGGAGGGGGGATAATACCCTTAAACCCTAAGCCCCTAGCCCTAGGCCACAGTTGACCTGCCTAAATAAGCCCTCATGCCCCTGTCCGAATCACGTCCTCAGCTTCAACCTCTTGCTGGTTCGGGGTGGGAGGGTGGGGGGAGGGATGATAGCCCGAAGCCCTAAGCCGTTTAGGGTTTTGTGTTTTGGGGTTTACGGTTTAGGTTCTTGTACCTTATCTAACTCCCTGCTTTGCAGTCAGGCATTTTAATGTGCTTGTTGTCTGCGAGTGCGGGTCCTTCAATAGATGCATTGCACGTGCCGCACAGTGGCACGGTCGACAACATGTGGAAGGTAGAGTATTTGTATCGATTGTCTTGGTGCTGGCATCATGAAGGAAACTTCCAGTGTTCGAAGCAGATAGTCGGAACTTCCTGCAAACGCAGGGCTGCAAAACGCCCGCCTTTAAGTTTGCATGTCCTTGAATGCTGGCATGCACAGCGAAATGTGTCTAGGGCAGCAATGGCCGCGCCAGGTAAACCCTAAGCAGCCCTCGAAGGTCGCGAAAGCCAATGCCGAAGCAGCCGAGAAAGCTCGAGAAGCCGAGGCAAGCACTCATTTTTTTTACATCGGCGGCCTTAGGGCCTACAGGGGGTGGGGTTTAGGGTGTTAAAGGGATTATGGACTGTAGGCTTTTGGGTTCAGGGCTTGTAGACTATAAGGTGCTCATGGACTTCGTGGTCTTCTTCATGGTTTGGGTGGTGGGGGGTGTATGATTTGGGTCTAAGAGTCTAGGGTGGGGGGTGTATGATTTGGGTCTAAGAGTCTAGGGCCAGGGCTTAGGACAGGTGCTAGTGGGTCACGGGTTTGGTTGTTGTGGTGATTCTTGAGGGTTTGGTTTGAGGTCCCTGCCCCAAGGTGCCCTCCATACAGGCATCCCTACTGATGGACGGCACCCTAGGCTGCGGATATCATTTTATCTTGTTTTCTTTACTCTGGTTTTGGGGCTGCCGAGCTATATGCTTGCTTCCTTCGTTCCTTTGTCTGTCTGGTATCTGAGGACCAGATTGAGCTTGTTCCTGAAGGAGCATGCAGCCCCAAGCCCCGAAAAGCCTAAGGCAGGAGCCCGAAACGACAGAAGAAAGGCGAAGCCGTAAAGCCCCAAAAGCCCCAGACCCTAACATCCTTGCTCCACCATGTCGTCACAGCCGAGCCAGGCAGCTCACGCGGCCCGGCTCGCGGCAGAGCAAGCGGCAAGGGGGCCCAAATGACGGCTTCTCTGTATTCTTCGTTTTGGAGTTCGAGGTTTTTGGCCCAGTTCTGGAACTTAGGCGCTTGCATGTTAACCAGGCTCGAGCTCTAAACGCTACACCCCAAATCGTACCCTGTAAACCCTAAATCATAGAACAGCCTAGAAAATCGCATAAGCCCTCTAAGCCGGTATAGACTTGAAAACGTCGTTAAAAGGCCCTCAACTTTCAATCCCTTACAAAAAATCAAGTAACCACCCTTACACGAAGCCTTACATACCCTCGGCTCGGCCATGCTCAGAAAAAGGCCGAGTTGGCAGCGTCCTTTCCGAGGCAGAGGCGGCCATGGCCGAAGCGGCGCAGATGCGGGCCGAAGCGGAGGCACATCCAGGGCCTCCACATAGGCTTTTGGGGTTAAGGATCTTCGGGGTTCAGGTGGGAGTTTCCGAAAATCAGGGGTACCTGAAATTGGGGTCCTTGTAACAAGGATCCTATTACTAAGGGTACTATATTAGGGTCCCCTATTTTCGGAAACTCCCGGGTAGAGTAAGTCAGGGCTTCAAGGTTATTCTCCTTTGGAGTTGTTTTAAGCGTCTCGTAGTCGCGCAAGAGAGCCCCTAGTTTTGAAGATTTGTTCTGGGCCTCTTTTAGGGTTGAAGGGGCAGGGGTCCGCTTCGTGGGCCCAAAGGTGCGACATAAGAGCTACAGTCATCAATATTCGGATCCTCCCCTACATTCCCTGCGAGCACAAGGTATACTCCCAAAGCATTTTGCCGACTGTTTGGGAGCGATGGCAGGGTTTAAAAGTCTTTGGGACTTGAGGCCTACAGCTCCGGGGTGAGGTTCTTGAGGGCATATGGGGCTCAAACTTTACAGCCCTTCAGGGCTTCGAAGCGCGGTGTGTTGAAATGCGAAGTTTGATCGGTCGGCTGCCCCGACACCACAAGGACCACAAGCTTCAAAGTACGCAAGGCCTAAAATCACATGCAGACTTAAAGCCTTTTCTCCCAAAATCCTAAAAACTTATGTAGGCCCTAAACCCGAAAACTTCCTGACCTCTACAGATGAAAAAGGGACGCTCAAAGAACGACAACGTGAAGCAAGGAACCTGGTAGTTTCTCCACATGAGCAGGAGGCTCGTCGACAAGCAGAGGACGCGCAGCGCGTGAAGACCTCCGAGGTGGGATTAACATTTAGCTTGGGGGGGTATGTTATATACTCTAACTATAAAAAAGGAACCCTAAAGCCTTAGTCTACTTACTAAGGCCCCTACATTGGGGTTTGGCACTGGGATGTTGACGGCAACTTGGTACGGTCTCCGCAAGGGTTGGATATGCCGAACATATGCTTGCTTGCCGCCTTAAGCGAGGGCTTATCGGACTTGTATGCCGGTTGCAGAATCTGAGTGCTGTTGACTGAAGTATAACTCCAGAATGACATCCTTCGGGGGTTTCCAAGAAGGAAGCATAGAACTCGGAGGGCGCCGGGAGTACTGTAGGTACATGATCGTAGAGAAAGATTGCAGGGGCTCATTCCAGTAATGATCGCAGCCGAGGTTGCCTGCCGCCGCATTACGTTGTACTTTACGTCCTAGCCAGGTTGCCATACTCCTAGAAGGCACGTGAACGAGGCAGACTTCATCTGCGACCTACCTCATCTGGGACCTACCTCATAGGTGCTATAGACAGCAAGTCCACATCATCAACGTTAGTTGTACGGCTTCATGACCATTTTGTCCCGGGAGCCTAGGAGCCTGGTCCAAACTTCCCATGAAACCTTGTGGCTGCATATTGCCATGTGGAAGACTGCCCAGAACAGCTAATGCATGGTTGGAGATCTAGCTAGCCACTTCCAAAGGAGCCCAAACTGCCCCTGATCTGAGGAGCCCCCCTTACTAAGTTTGATGTAGAATCCTTTATCAATCCCTGAATCCCGCCCCCGCCAAGTCTTCTTGAGCCCCATGGCCCCAAACATGAAAACACAAACTTCCGTAATCACGGAGTACTTGGGATCTGGGTTCTGAGGCAAAAGCACGAGCTGATGCAGAAAGGCGCCAGGCAGAAGCCGAGGCCGCTCGCTGTTCAGATTCGAGTCCACCTCCCTGTCCCTATTGACTTATGTTGAAGATGTTTTTTTTAGGGTTGAGGCTACTATAAGGTGTCTACGGTAGTAAGGTGGGGCTTATTATAGGACCTAGGATTCGGGCAAAGGGTTGCGTTCTCAGCATCCGAGCTTTCTGAGAACTCGGTTGGGAAGCATCGTACACATCCTGAAGGGGAGGCACTGAGATTGAGACTGCGGTGCAGAAGCCTCCAGACATGCTCTTTGATATCATATAACGGAGTAGAATAGAACACAATAGAATAGTGGAGCAGGATAGAATAGTGGAGGTGAATAGAACAGAATTTAACAAATCGGGAGCCCTCAACTCCGAGCTCCGCGCTCCAAACCTCGACGACACGCACAAATCTTTCCGCGACTCTAGACAGCCGGCCCTTTACAAATACTACAAGAGTTATTGGACGGTTTGAGGCAGCAGAGTTCCGGCTAGTATAGGCCTCCTCCTTCCGGCCCACCGAGGAGGCCATGAAGGTCGCTGCCAAGCAGGCCACTGAAGCGGCCGCCGCCGCCAAGGTGCCCCTTTAGGGTTTGCGGCTTTGGACGCGATTCATGTTCAGGCGGCACAAGGCTCCAGGTGTCTGGCATGAAGGGTCATAAGGATTGGGGCGTTACTTTCTGCGGTACCACTATGCTAGCTACCTAATCTTCAACTTGGCGAAGTACGGGTTCTATGAAGGGTGCTTTGTGACTCCTCCTACTTCATGGCTTTAGGGCTTTCTGAGGTTTAGGGTGTGGAGTGATTCTTACTGGCTTCCGAGCTTGACCGCTTCCGGCTCAGGGAATGAAGAATGAAGAAAACGACAAACAAGACAGACGTGCACGGGGATACAACAAAGGCTCGGATAGGCATCTTAGGAATACTCACAACAATCTTTCAATGGAACACGCAACAGTACAGGTACGCCTAAACTCTAAACACTGACTGTCAGCAAGTAGCCCCACTAGTCAAAGCACTTGGAACACAAGACCTTGTCTGGCGGATTTCGAAACCCTACCCTATATCCTAAAGTCTCGCTGGAGGCGCAGGCTCGGGCTGCATCCGAGGCGGTGCGCTCCGCTGCCGGCTCTCAGGTCAAGGGGCCTTCCGTGTTGAAGATTTTAGGGTTTAGAGGTTCAGTGCTTGTCATGGGGTTTAAGGTTTTTCGGGTCTAGATTTTCGCGGTTTGAGGGTTTGGGGTATATGTAGCTCTCAAATGGAGAAGCTGGCTCTTCGGGCGTTAGTGCATTCGGGCTTTACGGAAAAAGGGCTAAGGTCCAGCTATTGTAGGGTTCAGGTCAGGGTTTTGGGGTTAAGGGTTTAAGCACAGCTGTCCGGCTTCTCGGAAGCGTTTCGTGAGGCTTCTGCAAGGTTCATAAAGGGTTCTATCAGAGATTTTCGGAGTGTGTACGCCTGGGGCTTTCCTTGCGGATGCTGTTTTGAAGAAGCAGCTCTTTCGGTGTTCTTCTTCTTCGTTGCTCCATTTTCGGACCTAAGTCTGGGTTGGTTGAAATGAACAGTACAGGATGTATTCTGTATGTATTTAGACTGCGTGTCCCAGGTTTTGCGGGTTGAACCCGGAAAGCCCAATCCAGGTTGGGTTCACGCAGCTTCCAGTTGCTTTGTTTGAGCAAGTCCCACCTTCCTGGGTCAATCGTATGCAGTGTCTTTAGGCCAGTGGTGGTTTCGTTGTGTCGAATCACGACATGACGACTTGCTTCTTCGCAGCATGATCGCCTCGAGTCCGAGAGAGAGAGGGAGCGAGAGAGAGAGAGAGAGGCAGGCCTCGATCCTGGGTGTTGGGGACTTGGTCGTGTTTTGGAGTCTTTGGGCCTGGGGAGGGTGAACAGGGGGGGGAACCTTCGCTATCTGTGTCTTCTTGCGGCAAGGAAACCATCCATGTGCTTAGTGTCTCTCATGTCTTATCTTGGCGATGGGGATAATTGTATGTCAGCGGTAGTCACTCCCGCAAAAAGGACCCCACATTCCTAAGGCCCAGCCCAGCATCTGCAACTTCCGGTTCTTGCCAGGTGGCTTCAACTGCTGCTTGTCGCGCACAACTTCTGGACCAGCTTAGCATTCAAGGTTTTGCAGAAGTTCCGATAGTGTGGCTTAGCTGCTCGTTCAAGTTTATCCTATGGATCTAAGGGTGCGGCAGCTTTTTACAGATGCTTGTTACAAAGATTCCCAGTCGAGTTCGTTTGAACGCCTTCGCGGCCGGTGCAGTTGAGGTCATCGACTCAGGAATCCACGGCCACCAAAACCCTAAACTCACTAAGCGTTAAGCCCTGGACCGCAAATGCTGCTTTAGGATCGAGCTCGGGATGCCGCACAACAGCCTGAGGGTTCCGGGCTTGTGCTAGAGTTCTGTAAGGGTTCTACAAGGGTTTAGGGCTTACCAAGTTGGGGACGTGACGACCACCTAGCCCCACTTGCAGAGACAGCTGGACCGATCGACCTTCTCGGTCCTTAGCTATTCACCCTCAGATCCTCAGGCTTTGATCCAGCTCTCCACTTCTTGGAAATTCCCACTGTAGGGGTCAACACCCAGCTAAAGTCTAGCCATCATCAGACTCAGACACCCAGATCAAAGGAGAGTCTCTGCTGAGTCTATGTTCCAGCAATAGTAGCTGATTTATGGTGGTATTGGTAAACCAACGCGAAGCGGAATAGTCGTCGTCGGGGTTCCCGGTACTGCGGACAGCACAGCTAGGCTCTTCACGGCACCTGCACGACTTGACCTGTGTGTGAATGACAAGCTGAAAAGTGGTGACCACATCATAAGGGCAGTCCTGCAGTAGATCGTTGCGAGATTCTTGTTCATCGCTCGGCAAAATTCCTTGTCTGCTGTAGGCTATATGTGCAGCTTCCGACTTCTATGGGTAGGTCTGCTGCGTATTACTTCACCCGTGCCGGAACTGAGGAAGTCGTGAGCGACGCCGATGCAGCGAGGCAAGGGCTCTTCGGCTGAGACGACAGTATAGCTTCTTGTGGGAGAAGCCTCAAAAACCCCCAACCCTTCAAGCCCGTGACTTGAGGGCAAGCGATTCACTGGAGCAGCTGCTCTTCTCCGCGTTGTTGCCCTTTTCTACTTGTTGGGTATGCTCAGACTTCGGGTTTTTAGAGCTGTAGACAGATTCACCCATCGACGATGGATCACATTGGGTTCCCTATGGGCCTGTCTCACAGCCCGTTGTGTTTTCGACCCTTCGAGATTTAATGATGATGGATATGGTCCTCAAAATCCTGAGCTGTACTGAGTCCTACCGTGAGCCCATACACCCGCTGGGCTTTGGAGTACCATGCTTTAATACCTTTTTTCTTCAAGGAACCATTATGAAATTAAAGTAAATACTTCTCTCCCTGGTCCACTGGTTACTTAAAAGCCCAGCCCGATGCCAGGCGTTCCGAAGATCTGCGGCAGCAGGCGCAGGAGGAACTCCAGCGTGCGCAGGCCCTCCTGAAGAGTCACTGCCCTACACCCGCTGACCATAATCCTTTTCCGAACCCTAAGTTTAGGGTTTAGGGTTTGGGGGTTTAGGGTTTAGGGGCTTAGGGGTTTAGGGTTTAGGGTTTAGGCGAACCCTAAACTCACAATGCATGCAAGCAACCTCAATCCTTTTCCGCCAATGCCTAGAACCATCTGCATCGGTTCATGTCCGTCACATCAGGACAATGTGGCATTCTGGAACCCAGGAGCGACGTGTTACGCTGTTCATACGGTCATATCCCCAACACCGCTTTCTGGTTGTCCAGGCCCCTATGTTACTAGACAGGGTGTAGAACGACTCAGTAGCTGGCAGGCCTTGCGAGCTTCGCGCCTTTACGTTGTTTGACCCGTGTTTGCTTACTTGTTGTGTATGGGCCTGGTTCTTGCAGAAGGCTTGTGCGGTTTAGGACGTGCCAACAAGGAGATGCTGTAGAGTGCTTCTGGAACGGAGCTACTTCAGTAAGGCCGAGAAGTACGGGTCCACATACAGGGCGAAAGCTCGCGCCTGCCTTTCAAGTTGAGGGCACTGTTGCGGCAGGGAAGCGGTGTGCCACAGCTGCCCTTGTCGCAGCTGGAGCAGAATCGCTCCACGCCACTTGGTGGCAGCTCAATTGGGGTTTAGGCGCCGTCGCGGCGCGAAGACGGATTTAGCGAGCTGTCATTTCGGAGATTTGGGGCGATCAGGGTTTAAGCCTACTTGCCTTGGTAGCGTGCGCTCGTTTATGCATTTATGTGGGCGCCAGCTTGTTCCAGTATGAGGTCTTATGATGAGCAAAGGATAGCATATGCGATATCAAGTTCCTTTTTGCTGGAGCCGATGCAGTCACGGTGCTGAGAGTGTAGCAATGTGTGAAACACCTTCAACCTGGCATTGTGCGAGCACGGAATCATGAACCGGCTGAACCTCGCGTGACGGTCCTTGCAGCCCTTGTTCATCATCCGATGCTTGTTGAAGAACTGTTGAGGCTTATTGTCTCAGCTACGGATGCAGCTCAGAATCTTGGCTGTCCAAAACACAGCCGGGATAGAGCTTTCTATTTTTGCAGCAGCTTGCATTGAGGTTTCGCGTTGGTGGATAGTGACGGCCGTTATCGGAAGTGTTACTGTAGCAGCACTTCTGCTGACATGTTGCTTTCAGCAACAGAATTGTTGTTGCTGTTGTCATTTCGAGTTCGACTGTCGTCGTTGTCATGCTGTACTGCGTGACCGCTCTCCCTGAAGATCGGTTTAGGTTGTTTAGGTTTTTCGAATGGGGTCATGCGAAAGACGGGTGTATGGGACCCTCGCGCAAGGTTTGGCTTTGGCTGTCAAAGGTGCATGCCCTGAGGTCGGCACATATGCTGAAACAGCACAAAGACATACACATGGTTAGCTCCTGGGTGAACAAAACTCCTAGAAGCTATGTCGAACCAACAGAACTTCAGTTTTTAGCTAAGAAGCAGACATAAGCGAAGACTCGAGAAACAGACAACAACCACAGATACGACATAGAGAAAAACAGGCATGGTCGCCAATGACCTACTCTATAGAGACAATATAGAGTACTATATAGAGGCCTACATAAATAGATAGATAATTACCAATACATTCAAAACGTTGCTCTGATCATCAAGGCCCACCTAATCCCTAAACCCTAATCCCTTGGTGGATTTCCTGCTTATTCTGCTGTTTCAATCCACACGCCTGCATGGTGAATTTGAACCCCCATGGACAACGTGGGACATTTGTGGAACAGCTGACTGCATGCGTGAATTCTGGAATATAATATTCTCTTTGCTGGTATGGGCCTATGCATGGAAACTCGTGATTCCGCTGCACTGCATGGTTATCAATCGGAAGTCTGCATGGGAGACTGCATGCTTGCAATACGTTACAGGGCTGCCTACATATTCGGTCCTCACAATAAGAATGAGAATTTGGGAATACATATCCTGCATGACAATTGGATGTTTCGAGGCCCATGCTGATGTATCCTACTGACAGATATGTGAGGTCGGCTGCATGCATCTGCATGCTTCTGCATGGGAGATGTGTGTTGGACGAATTTTGAGTCCTCCACAACCTGCAGGTTATGGAACCTTCCCCAGCGGGGATGCGTGCATGCTTGCATGAGCTGCCACTACATATGCTTCTGGATAATCTGGAGACGAATTTGCGAAAATCGTTTGGCTTTGACCTGTTTGGACGTAAGAGGACATTTGCAACCTTTCTGCAAGCTGCTATGTGCATGGAGCCAACAACACCTTTCTGCATGGGAACAGCATGGAGCGTTATGACAATCGCCGGTTGAGGAATGTACCACTAGTTACCAGTCTGTGTTTCACTGGTCCCTCAGAGAGCCCAACTAGGTCGTGGGGTTTAACTGGTTTAGTGTTTGCGCTTTGAGGGGCTGCTGTCAGTTGCGATCATGTGTTATGCTTGTACACTTGCTGGTAGGCCTTTCTCGGATCTCGTCTGACAGCAACCTGAGTATGTGACACCTACAGCTCAGGAGGATCAGGTAGTTTCGTCGAACCTATATCTGCAGACCTTGCCAGGCTTGTCCGAGTTTGAGTGTCAAAAAATCCCTCGCCTTTCAAAAAAACCCTAATCCCTAAACCCAATAAGCCCTAAACCCCATAAACCCTATAAACGCCTATAAACCCGAGACTAACAGCAGAGGATGGGAGAGCTCAGTTCCCGGAGTCTCGGAAAGATCTCCGCCACGCGGAGCGAGGCTCTTTTGGGTTACTGCGGGTTTAGAGTTTAGGGTGTGTGTGTGTGTGTGGGTGGGTGGGTGTGGAGTTTTCTGTTTGGGCTTGCTTGATTGATTTGGATATGTTTTTTTGTTTCTTGGGTTGTGAGTTCGATTGTGTTGTCTGTTGTTGGGGTTTGTGTTGGGTTTTTCTTGCTGTTGCTGAAGATGTTTTGTTGGCTTCGGGCCGTTAGGGTCTTTAGGGGTTTGAGAGACCAGGACGCACCAGAACGAAACAAGAAAAGGGTTGTGTTTGGGGTTTGGAGGTCTAGAGTTTGGTGGTTCAGGGCTTTACGGTTGTGGAGCGCGGCAAGGGCATTCGGATTTCGGAATCGCAGATTTCGTGCTGGGCTGATAGGGCTACAAGCTCTCCGCCTGGGTCTTTGGGCTCTATAAACAAGAATGTTTATCTAGAGGTTAGTCCTGGGCCCACTGCGCCAGCCAGCGAAGCTATGAGTACCCAAAACGAAAGCAGGCAAGGCTTCCACACCCTGGCCCAGTCTGATTGGCTGAGTTGCTTCTTTGTTCGCCCTCCCTCCGCTGTCTCTCCGAGGCAGAAGTCACCATCTGAGGAACCTGTATAAACAAGGTTGCAACGAGGGATATGCGAGTTTCCGAAACCAAGGGGTCCTTAGCATAAGGATCCTGCTACAGTATTGAGACTACTATATTAGTATTAGGCTCCCCTTTTTCGGAATCTCCCATATCTGAGGATACGGTTGATGATATAAATCCTGCATTACCAATATAAGGAACATACCATAATGCCCATAGTGAAGGGTCATTAAGCTATTGCAAGAATCATACCATCAACCGTATCTTGCAGGTTCTGAGAGATGTCTTCGACACCGCAGCAATTAGCCTGGTGGCCGACATTGTCGATGTGCCTCGGTGTCATAGTTTAGTTTAGGGTCTAGGGTTGAGGGTATTGGGTTTGGGTTTAGGGTCTGTTTGCTATCCTCAGAGATTTGGGCACTCACTCCATTAAGATCCGTGTTTTTCGGAGGGGTCGTCTGAATGAGGCAAGCAGCTTCTTGCAGTATCCGCGGGTATCGCAGGACAACTTTGTTGTGTAGCGTATCTTCAGCACACACACACAGGCAATCATTATTCAAATGCATTTGTATATATATATATATACATGTGTAAACACAAACATACATATAGATACATATAAAAACAAATAAACAAATATATGTATATGTAAATACAAAAAATCAATGTGACCTTTGCCTGCTCCTCTAAACACACAAGAAACCTTTCCGAGCCTGCGTTCTTGTTTCGTAGTTTCGTTTTTGTTGCAGGTTTAGGGTGCTAGGCAAGTAAAGCAGCACCTGGGGCTCTCTCAAACATTTATTTTTACAGCTATTTCGACAAGGCCAAAGACGGCATTGCGTTAAGAAGCCATACGGCCACATCTTCTGACCCCATATCCTAAACCTCAAAATCAGGATTTGGGTCCCAAACCTTTCATTCCCAGTGCCTCTATCTATCTATATACCTGTAACTAGTAAAAAATAAATATAAATATATATATATATATATGTACATGAATGATATATATATATACATACATACATACATAGATACACACACACATATATATATATATGTATAGATGATAGACCACAGCACCACGGAGATTTTGAGTCTTCCAATCGAAAGAGAAAGCCAGGAGTCTCTTCTCCTTACAGAGGAGGCTGCAAGGGCCAAGGCCCTGGACAGATTGGGGCACTCCGAAGGGTTTAAGGTTTTGGGGGGTTTAGGGGTATGGGGTTTAGGGGTTTAAGGGTTTAGGGTTTTCCCGGCTGATTGCAAGAGTCCTGGATGCAAAAAAGGGTTTAGGGTTTAGGGCTCAGGGGTTTAGGGTTTTGGGGGGTTTGGGTTTGTGGTGATACTCATGCTATTGCACAATGGATTTAGGGTTTGGGGTCTGGGTTTTTTAGTCCGGGTTTCGGGCCTGCGGGTTTTAGGCTTCGGCTTAGATCCAGGCTACAGTTCCGTCTAGATCCACTACGCTCATTCGTCCTTCCAGCATCTTATCCTCTTCTCTTAATCCATGGCTGCGACTCATGATGTGCTTGGTTTCACTGCTTGCCGTAGCCTGAATTGTACATCGCACAAAGGAGGGGCGGCTTTTTTCTTGCTCTCCCCCTATATGTTTATGGAACACATATTCACAGAACATGCGTGTACACATATACATATAATTATTTATTTGTACACATATGCCGGACTTATTTGGTATTCAGAGTTCCGGAAGTGAACAAGTTGAAACTATAAGTTGCTCGATAGCGCTTAGGCTACATAGGCACGAACTGTGGGGATTCACGGTAGGACCATGCCGTCACAGAACCATCATGCAAATAGACATTAGTCATCAGTCAGGCTCCGACAAAACCATCGCTGACAAGCCACAGCCGCTGTGCAGCCACGGTATGTGTACAAATATGTTATATTATAGTTCATATATATATATATACCCTATCCGAAGCCAGTCTCGATGTTCAGGGCCTTGGAAAACATGACGCTCTGACCTTTCGCACCCGAAGGCAATATCGGAGGAAGCTGAGGCAGCGGCACTTGCCGCCGCAATGGAGGCCCAATCGAGCAAGCTCAGACTTCCAAAATTCATCATCGGCCGACTCATATAGATTGAAGTTGAGTGAAGCACCCCGAGCCCTGGGCGCAGTACATAGCAGTTCGAGAGCACAGTCGAGCACATGTAAAGTGGCAGCAACAGCCATAGAAGTGGTTGCAGTCGCGACATATTTCTTACCGTCTACTGAAGTTCTATGCCCCCTAGCCTCTAGCACTCGAAGTATGGGTTAAGCCTTTTTGCTTGGCGTCCTCACCCCCCGGCCCAACAACAAAAACGAGAGAGAGAGAGAGAGAGAAAGCGTCACGCAACACACAAAGACACACAAGATACCAGGTTGCCCTGGAGGAAGAGGCAATGGCAAAGAGGCGAGCAGAGGCAGAGGAGCGTGACTGCCTTCGAATATGAATAGAAGTCTCTGTATGTCTCTGTGGTGCAAGGGTTTGAAGTTGGGGAAGTGTTCGAGTGTAATTAGGGTTTGCTGTGATTCAGGGCGTTTAACACATGGAGCTTTAGGCTTAGTTAGGGTTTGGTTGTAGTTTCTGGCTTTGAGGATTAGAGCCATGCGGCTTCATCCCTTTTCGTTTGGTGGCCTCAGGAGGCCGTGTAGAACGCTTCAAGAAGGCGTACAGTCGCCGGAGTTCAGAGTAAGTGGTTTCTACTTTGGGTAGGTGCGGGTCAAGCGATTTAGCTTGCTTTCTTGTTACATTAAGGTAATCGTGAAGTCTGGCGAAGAAGACCATCAGGCGGCTGAAAACTCATTGACTTCACGACAGGGCCGTCTTGGATGGCTTTGCGGACCTCTGAACCCTACACTCGGGGTTTGCGACTTTAGGATGGATGGTTGACTTTGCGCCAAAGAACACCGGGTTGAACGGGACCTGAAACCGGCCAGGTTCATGTGAGGTTAGTGGGAGGTTTTGGTGAGCGTTTGTAGGGCTCCTGCGGAATCTTGGTGTCTATATTTCGGGTGTTGTTTCTGGGTTTTTGGGATATTCGTGACAGAAAGCCTTACTTCATCTGCATCGCCCACTTCAGGAGAGAGCGCGTGCTGAGGTGCCCGGACCGGGATTCCGACAAGTTTGAGAGGGAAAGGGTTCCAGATTACTACTACTTTGACTACTTTACATAAAGGTCCATATACCTATGTTGACAATACTCCGGCCCTACAAAGAAAACATAGGAGCCCCCATAAGGCCAGACGCTGGCCTATGACCTGGGACGTGGACCCCCACGACTACCCAACCCTGAAAGGTAAACCCTAAGCCTAAGCCTTGACACCCTGCAATGCGGGCCTGTCCTTTCGAAGTAGAACGCAAAACAACCGGGAGTGTACAGGACATGATGTAATGTAATCATCGGACGTACACCCGAGGGAAGGCGTAGGGATCCGAGGGCATTTTTGGATAGTGCCGGCTACGGTTCGTGGGTGATGTTGGGAAAAAAGGTATGTTCGGGTGAACTTAATGGGCGGCTGCCCTCAGGTTGAGGGAGCAGTAATTAGGGCTTCAGGTTCGAACGTTTGGTGTCTGGCTTTGTTCTGTATTCAGCTTCAGCGCTGCCCAGATACCGACTTCCAGCGTTACTTGTGAGGCCACTGCGGCCGCACAAGCTGCTGAAGAGGTCCGCATTGCCCAGGCATGGGCGCGGGTCAGGGACCGACCGCGGAGTCGAATCAGCTACTTATTTCTCCTGGCAGCGAAAATGACGCAGGCATACGATGCATGCATAAGTTAGTGGCAGCATTTCGTTGCTATGTGGTTGCTTCTGCTGTACATCAACATCACCAACAGCCGGGGCAGCTGTAGCTATAGCAGCCGCACCAAGAAACACCGCAAGAGCTACTAACATGGTACTGGTAACAAGCTCTACTCTGTTCTTTGCTCACTCTTCCAGTCTAGAACCCTTCACCTCAAGTCCTGTGCTTGATGGACAGATTCTTGCATCATCCTAAGTGCCCTGCACCGTCCAAGTTATGTTAATTCAGTGCATGTGGATCGTATGATACTGTAATAATACTAGAAAACTATGATCATGCTTGAATGATAATACTATCACGAATCACGCTACTATAGCAACGCTGTAGCGCTACCATAACAAGACTACAGTATAGTATTCTAGCGTAAACTTTTTCACATGCAAGTCGAGGCAGAGATGCAGATGGCATCACGGCTCGCGCAGGAGGCGGCAGCTGCTGCCAAGGCATTCGGTGCAGACGCTTTTGGGCCTCAAGGCTTTGCCGTTTCGAGTGTAGAGTCTATCGGTTTAGGGTTTAGGATACCGGGTATGGTAGGGTTGCCGAACCAGATTCTTCGGGTTTCTGTATCTGGTCTGTGTATTGAAGAAGTCTGTCATCGTTTCGGAGCATCGGCACTGAGAAAGTTGTTTTTCTATCGCTAGCCAGAAGGGCAACAAGGCGTCTTGCCTTGATTTAGGTATGTGCCTATAAGCCCGAAGCCATAGTAAGCCCGAAGCCATAGCGGTAAGCTCTGTAGAATTCAAGGGTATTCCTGAAGAGGCCATTCGCCGCAGCAAGTGCATCATAATCTTCTTTTCAGCATGATTTGTCTGCTCCTCAACTCCCAGAACGGTCCCACACACACACACACACAAAAATCTCTGTGAGTCCCATTGAATGGAGCAGTCGATCTGGATGCTGGCCTTGTTACGGATGTGATGCTGTTGCTTCCGAATCTATCGCACAGAAGTTCCCAAACCATGAAACCCTTGAAAGGCCCAATGCCTCGATCAAAAGTCATATAGCTGGCAGCGACACAGGGGCTGGAATTGATCCAAGATGTATTCGTGAGTCTTTCAAGGATTTATAGTACCCTTCAAGGAGCCCTTATACTTGCTCTAAAGGAGCCCTCCAAGGATCCCTTAAGGTGCAACTGCTCTTCGGAGCCCTCCGTGTATCGAGCCGCTGACGAGGCGAAAGCTCGCTCGGTCGCGGAGTCCTACTCTTCACAGGCAACAGCACCGTTTAAGATTAGTGGATGTATTGTTTATGCTTCGAGGGAAAAGGGCTTTGGCATCAAGGGTTAGAAAGTCGTGTTTGGGCAGTTTGGGCTAAGTCTGAGAGGCTTGGGGATTTGCTTGTGCCATATAGGCTCCTGCGATTGAGGAGGTCTCACCCGGAGAGCCAGGCCGGTGGGGGATTCGGGTCGATTCGGAGCCTGGGAAGACACCAACCCTAACCCTCGCCCTGGGCCCCGAAAGCTTCGAATCCCGGTACTTGTATATAAATACAAACCCAAGCCCTGAACCAAACAGCCACAAAGAAAGCCCTGACCCTACCGTATCCTTAACAGTGTCCTGTCCATTTGGGGGCTGCCGGCACCGTAACAAAGTTAGTTAGTTAGTTAGTTGCCGTATCCCCAACGGGTCCCCTAGCAGCCCCTCGCCACGAAACACGCAAAACCCCAAGCCTCCATGTTGGCTCCAGTTTCTTGGCACATGGCAAGCTGCCAGCGAGGGCGGCTGATGACGGTTGATGTAGAAGAGCTTATATAAGGTTTCGGGCTATTGGGGGTTGATCATATTTCTTGCGAAGACCACAACACGTCGGTTGTTCAAAGGGTCCAGCCAGCTGAGGGCATGTGGAAGTGTGTGAGTTCTAGTATACAGGCCTTGCCAACAGACATGCACTTACTGCTGCTTGGCATGGGGTTTCGTTGGTGGCCGGATGCGAAGATACTTTTGTCGAGGCATAGCAACCGACAGAGTAAACGTGGCAAACCAGTTTGCAGAAGCCGGCGACGTGCAGAAAGTGCGGGAGTTGCTAGAGCCACTCTTGACGGCCGGGGCTTCAAAGCCCTTTTTGTTTCTGGGTTGTGCTTTGGGATAATGATTAATGTTTAATTCCCCTTATTTCCTTATAAAGGGAGCCTATTCAGAAATAATTTTCAAAGGGTTTAAAGCACAACCCAGGTTTAACATCGTGCTGAAATCTTATGCCAATGCCGCTGATCTGCTGGGAGCGGAGGCCTGGTATAGGCGGATGCTCTCCTCGAAAGTGACCGGGCTTTGGAGCGCCATACTTTAATACTTTTCCTTTCTTAAAGGAGCCATTGAGAAATATAAGTTAATACTTTTCTTTCTTAAAGGAGCCTTTAGGAAATTACATGTTCTTACTTTTTTCTCCCTGGTTACTTAAAAGCCCAGGTGAGCCCCAATGTCAAAACTTTCGGAAAGCTCTCCAAAAGCGCAGCCAAAGCTCGGCAGCCTTTGAGTGCCGAGCGGTGGTTCTTCCGGGCCGCAGAGCGTTCGCCGGTGTCCTCCGTACAGTTGGGGACGCTTCTGGACGCTTGCAAAGAGGATCCTCAACGTGGGGAGTGTTGGCTTCGCCGAAAAGAGCAACTGAATCTGGATCTAAGTCTCCCTGAGTCCACGAGGTCCGTTGCAGCTTACGGGGCTTCCGTGGCAGCCTGGGCAAAGGCCGGCGACCTCCGGAGTGCGGAAATGGCATTTCATCGAGCAGTCCGTGAAGGCAAGGGTGCTGTCACCTCGCAGCTTTGGGCAACCTTACTGGATGCATACTCCAAAAGCGGCGCAACCGCGAAGGCTGCAGAATGGTTCCAGGCTGGTCTTGACATGCAACTTAAACCTTGCGCCGTCAGCTACACATCTCTTATGGATGCTTTTGCCCGAACCAGGGACAGTCCGGGTGCTGAGAAGTGGATGCTGGCACTGATTCGGGACGGCATCCGATTGGAAAACCCGTCGTGCGTGGTCCTTCTGGGATCCTGGGCAAAGATGGCAGAAGTTGAGCGTGTGCAGGCTTGGATGGGGCGACTGCAAGCTGCAAAGGTGCATTTGGACATAATGGCACACACGGCTCTCATCTCGGCTTGCGCCGCAGCTGGAGACGCTGAAAAGGCGGAAGCGGTGCTTGAGGAGCTTTGCACCGCTGGACTCCGGCCGGATGTGGTTCCTCATACGGCGGTGGTCCAGGCTCACCTGAAGTCGCATCATCCGGAACGCCTCGCTCGCGCGTGCAACGCCATGGAGCGGATGATGAGCGATGGGAATGAACCAAATGCGCTGAGTTTCGGTCTCCTGATTGGAGGCTTTGCATCCCAAGGCCAGACTGCTGAAGCAGAAGACTGGTATGCAAGAATGAGGTGGAATCTCAGATCTGCTGACCTTGTCGCACACAATGCCGTAATCAATGCTGCAGCCAGAGCCAGTGACTCAGTGCTCTGCTTTTCAGGGTCCCACAAGTGTCGACCAATAAATTTTGGAATCTAGAGATCGTGATTTGGATCATTGTTTCGGTGTCTCTTGTTCATAATAACCCCAACTCCTAGCTCCTTCCCGCAAAACGGACCTAGCGCAAGCACTGGCTCCTCTATAGCTCCTGTGTTCCCTGGGTGGCCGAGAAAGGGGTCGCCCGGCCCCGGTTTCCTAGCGCCTGCCTCCGCTCCTTGCTCCTCCTGCAGGACACTAGCGGCACACAAGAAACACAACACAAGCAACACAGCAAATGACATGTAGCAAGAACGTGGTTCCCTCCACTCTCTTCTTTCTCCCCCCCCCCTCCCCCCGTGCGTTCCTCCCCCCGTCTAGCGTAGCGCAGCAAAGGAGGGAAGAAGAGAGAGAAGGGAGCCGGAAGGAGAGAAAAGAGGATCCGACCTAGCAGCCTTTCTAGCCCTGCCGAGTGTGAGCGCCGAAACCCCAAACCGTCCTGAAAAGTTCACTAAGGCAGGTGATGCGTTTCGAGCTCATCTCTGGTGGGAGCGGCTGGAAGCTTGTGAGCTCCTGGCAGATGCGACAAGCATGAACACCGTGCTGGAGGCCCTCGTCCGCGCTGCTCCGGAGGAGGCTTCGATCTCTTATCAGAGCTTGAAATGTCGGAGTCGGAGAGACATTGCCTGGCCGACAGAAGTGACCTTTGCCATCCTGATGCGCCCCTTCGCCTTAAGAGGAGACCTGAAAAGCGTGGACAGCCTTTGGCAGCAGATGGTCAGCGATGGCATCCGGCCGCAGCCCTGCAATCTCTGGGCAGTCCTTTCAGCTTGCGCCAACTCACAACCGATGTTGCCAGACACGGCGGTGCAGCGATATCAGGACTGGGTGCAACAGGGCGGCAGCACGGACCGTCATGTTGTTTCTGCACTCCGTGCAGCTTTGGGGGACAAAAAGCTCGAGAGAACGAAAATAGAATGGTCTTTCCCAAAGAAGCAAAGGGGTCTATGTTTGCATTTTTTGTTGCTCTCTCCTGAAACTCGCATGGTGCACGGTTCTCCCTGCACTGGAGCCGATACTACTACTACTACTACTACTACTACCACTACTACTACCACTACTACTACCACTACTACTACTACTACTACTACTACTACTACTACTACTACTACTACTACTACTACTACTACGGCGACACTCCTGTGGGGACGAGTCGGTTGGGGCTTGGGGTTGCGGACTTTGGCTTTGCTACGTTCGGGGCGAAAGTTTTAGGGTTTGGAGGGGTCTGTTGAGCTATATAATATATAGGAGCATGAAGAATTACCTAGCCTCTACTAATGGGGGGGTGCCTTATTATAGTTATAGGTTTCATGGGCCCCAGAACCCTTTTCTAGTTATTAAGGCCCCTATGGTACTTTGGGATGTAGCAGCTGCTTGAGAATGGCATCGACTATTAGGCCCGAAAGCGCACCGTGGGCCGTAGTACTTAGACCCTAAACCCTAAACCCTTAGGCCTGATCATAAGTCCACCAAACCCTTGCACCCCAGACAACATGATGGGATGTGGAATCCTTAAGCTACGTGCACCCTTTTGTTGCAGGTCAGTGTTCCAAGCCGTCTCGTCGATGCTCCTCCGTGGCATGTTTATGCGACGTCTCCTATCATATGAAGGTGCCCGAAATGTTCGGGGTTCCTTCCTGAGAGGCGGCGGCGGTCTTTGATCTGAGGCTTTCTTTCGGAAGCAGAACAGGCGGGAGGAATCAAGGAAAGTAGCCGGCCCTGAGCCCTACAAGCAAAACTGCTTGAGTCGAAGTCGTCATCTGCCTGCAGACTCGGCCTCTACATAAGATCCCACTGCATTGCTCAGTTTCATGCTCAGGATTTGGTTTTTTGGTTCAGGATCATTTCAAGGATTTTTTGGTGCATCTAAAAGTATTTGGCAGAGTATCTTGTCAGTACCAGCTGGGAAGCGGCACGATTTTGCCATCCATTAGCCAGCAGAAAAGGTTTACAGAAAGGGTTTACATGTCGAATTTATGACGGTCTCCACCAGTTGCTTCCCCTGACCCAAACCACTGGTGTGTGTAGTACCTGGGCTTGGGTGTATCTGAAGATAGCCATACTATACTGTTCCTGCAAAGCACCGGCGAAGTTGCCGTTGCGTAGGCTTGATTGTCTGGCTTGAAGTTTCGATCGTGCAGGATTTCGCTCGGCGCACGTTGATGTAGAAGCCACAATACCTCTGATTTGTAAATACCATGCCTCTGCCTGTACGTGTGTCGAAAATGCCTACATATACATTCATACATGTATATATATATATATATATATATATGCATGAACACATACACCCATACATATTCATTCAGGCACATGCATATATGAATGAATACATCAAACACCCCTCTGAAGCTCGATAGAACCAGGGGTCTGCATTATACCCGAAAGCCGCGCAAGTTGCCGTTGCCAGGCGGGTTCACCTGCGCGAAGCCCAGATGGACGCTGGTGCCGTTTGCGTGTGGCTTTTGCATTTGTGTACGTTTTAGGGTTTTGGGGGTGTTTGTGAGAGTGTGTGTGTGTGTGTGTGTTTCGTGTGTTTCGTGTAGTAGGTTCATCACAAACTCGGGACTCGGGACTCTTGGAAGGGTTCTTGAAACTCTGAACTTTAAGCTTGAGAGTTTGGAAGTCTTGCAAGACCAGGATTGTTGAAATAATTATGTTAACGAAATAGATATGAAGACAGTATGGTTCGCAAAAATGGAAACATGAATCTAACATGGTTTTGGGAGATATGAAAACAACATGAACTCAATATGGTTTTGCTCTGGTTCTGGCTTCTTGGCACCGACGGGACGAAATAGAGGGGCTCTGGGGTATTCGGTGCTCTGACATCTGTGTTTTCAGGACGCCTTCAACTTGTGTGCAGACCATATCAAAGGGTGCCTGAGTACCTGCAACAAGGCAACAACAGCAACAACAACCTGTCAGTCCCTTTGTCGCTATATGGGAGTTTCCGAAAATTAGGTGTGCCTTTTTTGGGGTCCTCATAAAAAGGATCGCTACGATATTACGGTCCCCGATGTTCGGAAACTACCATATTGGGAACTTCCTCCTGACACAGCTATACTAGACAAGAGCTTGCCGAGGCCTCCCGTCGTTCCACGGTTGCCCACGAGGCGGGGGGGGGGGGGGGAAGCATCCTTTTCAACTTGTAGGATGCAATGTAAACCCCTGGTTCATGAACTCATGCATATAACACACGCAATATATATATATATATATATATATATATGTGCATATTATTTATATATATATATATATACATACATACATACATATACACATACATACATACATACATGCATACATACATACATACATACATACATACACGCACGCACGCATGCATGCATGCATGCATACATACGTACACACACACACACACATACATGCAATGTATCTGGTTTGTCTCGTCCGTTACGGAAGGGTTTTGGAACCTTAAAGTTCCTTTGAGACCTAAGACTTGCCCGAATCCTGCTTTAAAGGATCGGAGGCCCAGTGACAAGCACCGCACACCCGACAATTGAGAGCCCTTCAGACTCGAGAAAAGCAGATGTCGCATACCAAGAGAGCCCTTTAGGGAAACCAAGGGACCCTAATCTGCTCCCCCAAATAGTGGGATCCTTACTATAAGGACCCCTGAATAAGGTACCCCTAATTTTCATAAAAGTCTTATACTGAGGTTTCTTAGTTTTGAGGTTTTTACGGTTGCAGGATCTGCTCCAAACGGTATGAACACGGCCAGGGGTGCTCCGATTCTGCCATGCCTCTTTGGATATGCCACGCGAAAATTCGCAACCTGAGCAGAGCGGCTGGCACACAAAAAAGCAAAACGCACTTCACTGCCTGGAAAGCCTTGAGTTCTGAGTTCTGAGATTTCGGCCCATGCTGATGGCCTGCGCAGGTGGCGACTGACCTGCTCCATCGGTTGCTGCAACAAGTCTTCGGCTCGGTGAAGAAGGGTGTCTCAATAATTAGCAGCAGCAACACGCGGATCCCCCTCCAAAACAAACCGTTGTAACACAATATATACTGTAACTGTTGAGGGCCTGTTGCAAGTGTGGCTCCGTCTCGCAGGAACCTTAAATCCCAAAGCCTGAATCAAAACTTTCCAAAACTTCATGGAATCCCTAACCCCAAGTGATTTGCAATTCCTGTAAAACCTGATACAGTTCCTCTTGATCTATGACCTAAGATCCAGAAATGCCATAGTCATCCATAACGCCCTTTTAAACAATACTTACCAACTACCTACTTCCTGTTTATCCGAAACTTATATGTATGCATGTATGTGTGTGTATATATATATATATATATATATATATATCGAGAGGTAACGGAATGAAATTGGACGCAGCTTCGGTGCAGGGCTTCATCTTGTTCATCTTGCGTTTCGGCAGCTAGCAGATATTGGAATGCAAGATTCACGATCTATGACTCCGAATCTACATTTTGGGTGAGGAATGTTTGGCAGGTCGCACTGCTTTCAAGTTGGAATGGGTGCATGCCAAGTCCAATCATATTCTCGGAACTCCAGTCTCTCATGCGACAGCCCTGCCCGTTTTGTTGACGAAGGAACATTCCTCGAAGAGTTTAGGGTTTAGGCTTTCTGTCGGATGCTGGCACTGGCTCCACAGCACGTGCTGTGAAGGGCTTCCTGCGGTCAACTTCCGAACGAAGTAGCAAGCCTGTTGCAAAAGGGTTTCCGTCGTTAGGGGTCACTGGGTCCTGTGGCTCTTGGTTCGCTGTCGAGGAAGATCCTGAACCCCACGCCCGACTTCAGATTGTGATTGTTTCCTAAATCCTAGATCCTGGGAGTGCGAGGGCAAAGCCCAAGAGGAGAGTTCAGCCACCGAGGGCACCGGCCCTCCAGCCGGCACGGAGCCAGCTGATATGATCGACGTGCCGGAAGCCCAACAGAGTTGGAGTTTCAGGTCGAGGGTTTCATCATAGTCGGTGCCTCGGTTTCGGGATGTTCCGAACAAAGGCATAGCCCAGGTGTAGAAGAAACTTGAGATTCATGCTCAGGGTTTCTTGGCAGGTTCCGAGGCCCCTGGAAAGATCTGGAACCAACCTGGCAGAACTCTTTCTAGAGCCAGTTTGTTGATAGGGTAGTCGCACAAAGCTGCAGTGCGATTTGGGGTTCATGGGGCCTGTCGCGGATTTAGAACCCTTATGACCTTGGCAAGGTCGGCCGTGGCGGACGCGGAGCCGCCAGAGACTTTGCAGCTGCGTCCTGGCTGTGAAATCCTGCCGGGCCAGTACATGTTGCAATTGTGCTGCCCAAAAAAAGTACATGCTGCAATTGGGGAGTATCGGGGGTTGGGGACATTGCATTTCCCTGCCCAAACCCTTAGCTTAGCTAAAAGCCCAGACCCGAAACCGTGGACTCAAAGCCTTGAAACCCAACCACCTCTCAGTTCCGCGCAGAAAGATCACTAAGCATGAGACCTCCACAGTGCGGCTTCGAACGGCAGGGCTTGAGGGCTTCAATATGGGGGGCAGCCTGATTACCCTTAGCGGGCTATTGAGCCGTGAAGAGAATAATGAACAAGGTCCAGTTGCTAAAACTATTCCTTAGGCTTCCGGCGGTATTCCATAATATTTTATCATATAATCGTAGATCGCAGTATAATTGTACATAATACACCAATACACCCGAAGCATTTCAGCTCCTCATGTGGCGTACCTCTACAGCAACGAAGCCGGGCCCGCTCAAAGAAAGGCAGCTCGTTCAAGGCTCTACATATTTCTCCACTTAAGATACATTTTCAAGCTATATAGTCTTTCTCTCGCTCTCTCTCTCTCTCTCTCCCTTTCTCTCGCTATCTCTCTCTCTCTCTCTCTCTCTCTCTCTCTCTCTCTCTCTCTCTCTCTCTCTCTCTCTGTCTATATATATATACAAAGAATATTTAGTCATTATTTAATCCTTTGTACATATATGCACACATATGTATGCAGATATATAGAGAGAGAGAGAGAGAGAGAGGGAAATAACACTTCGTATTCAAGTTTTTTGGAAAACTCCTGTTGGCCCGTTCCAATTTCCCCCGCCTGCAAGTGACATTGTGGAAAGCAGTATGTTATCAGAATATAGAGCTCTGAGTCATCAGGAAGAATATCCCTTCCAACGTCTTCTCGTGCTGGGTTTAACATTAATGATCATGCTCATAAAACACTTAGACCCTGTTGGAAATGGTAAGGCCCCTATA